CTGACCTCTTAGAGGCAGAATAAACCATCTGGGTATTTAAAAACAAGGAGAAAGCTGTCGTTAGGTACAGAAATAATCCCGGTGCACAGATCAGGGGCACTTTCCAGAAATTTCTGAGGTATTCTGGTGCTTAAAGATGAAGGTGAAAAATCTCAAGACAGCAAAATTCCCACTCAGCCCAGATATCTCTGAAAAATCCCTTTCCCAGCCACATTTCTGTTGTGTTAACAATATTCCTCTGGGCTGGGTGCCTCATCCTAAGAGTGAAGAAACAATTGAGAAGAAGGCACAGAAATGAGATTAATTACTTGTGACATCATCTGCCAGCATGAGGAGCTTTATCCAGCCTGACTTCACCTCCAAGTTTATTTCCTGAGGTGTGGAGATTTATAATGCTGWGGCCACCTCAACCAGTTTGTCAGGGATTGTTTTCTTGGCCACAAAAACCTCTAATCTGCTCCTAATCTTGCTCAGCCCTCGGCACAATGTTGTTTTCTGCCAGTGAGTAACAGGAGCTTTGTGTTGTGTTTAGAGTGGTTTTGTTTTTTCAGCATTTAATTCCTGTCCTTTTCAGCTCAGGTTAAATATTTCCAGTGAAGATTAACTTCTGTAATGTAAATAAATAGATCCAGMCACGAGCCTTTTTCCAAAAGGACTGGGCAGTCTGTAGTAATTTGAATTTCTGGGATCTAGAACAGAGAGATTAAAAGCTTAAATTTATYCCATTGTCATTCTATCCCAAAAGAGTCAAGCTCTGAAATGTGTAGCTGAAATGGATCCCTCCAGGAGAGCCTGGGTCCCCTCTTGCTTTTCCACCTCAATTAAACTTTTTTACCTCTTCTGATTCCCTCAAATTGCCTCAAATTCACATTAAAATTCTGAAAGATTGCAGAGGCAGAGAGTTTGGTGGGTTTGGATCACGTCCCTGTGGGATCAGGCAGAAATCCCCTTTTCCCCAGGGCAGTTGAGCAGAGCTTTAGGAGGGATTTGCACCTCCCTGGACAGCTCCTGGYGGGGTTTGGGACAATCAGGACCAGCAGCTCTTGTGGAGGTGCAAAGGACAGGCAGGACCTGCCCTGCTCCTGCTGCTCTCTCTCCCCTGAGGCAGGGACACACTTTTTCCACACCTCCAAATACTGATTTTCCTACCCCATCTAAATCCACAGTTCAATGCTGGCATTGCTCTCCTTATCTTGGAGATAAGGCCTCTATCAGTAACTGGTAAATTCTGGGGGTCTCCAAAGCTCTGACAGAAATGCAGGGAGAAAAAAACATGGTCTGGTGTGGGCAATGGACCTGCAAAACCTGGATCTGGGAGAGGATTTAAGGGCCAGTGACAACATAAAAATAATTGTATTTTAGTTCATTGTACCAGAAAATGCTTTTTCAATCCTATCTCCATAAAAATGACAAGCACTGAATCACCACAGAAAAATAAAAGATTATTCCAAATTGCAAGAATGTGCAATCCTGTTTTGGCAACTTCCAGCTGATAACTTCGGCTGTTAACACAAACCTAGGAGTATTTTCCTTACTCTGAAAATAAACCCAGAAGGCTTTAAATATCACCAWTGGACAACTCCAAACTAACATTGTAAATGTATTTTTTTTCTCTTCTCATCATGGAAATTCCCTTTCCTGAGGTTCAGGGTTTGTGTGCTCAAAGGAGAAGTGTTTCTCCTGAATCAGTAAATTAAGGAAATAATAATCAGGTGCATTTCCAATGTCTGTGGGAAGATTATTTGGTTCTGGCTAAGCCAAAGAGGTTTTCCATGAAGGACAAAGTTGTGCCTAAAATKCCAGCAGATATTTTAGGAGCCATTTGCAAAGAAAGGAAAGGAACACAGCTCCTGTCAAAGCTGAGCCATGCAAAAGAGCTCCTTTTCAATGAAAGAATCATTGGAAAATGACTCTGGGAGCATTCTAGGAGTATTATTGACTAGGATCCTTAGGCCATTTAATTCACTTTTTCATTGAAAACTGTGATTCATCTGAATGAAGGCAACTCTGCCATTATTCGTGTCTGCACTTCTCTGAGCAGGTGTCTTTGGTTCCAAGTGCCACCTAAACCTGGCAGAAAACGTCCCCACTCCTCACCATCCCTATTCCACCCCCTGTCCCAAGGCAGATGAAGAGTTAATGCTCAGGGCTGCGTTTCAACGCATTTGGTTCCTTTTTCAGCACCTGCTGCTGAAGATCTCAGAGCAGTTTTTGAACATTCACCAGCTCAGGCTCGTGACTATTGARGCAGTTTGTTTTTGCACAGCCTGGCAGACAGGGCTGTGAGATCACATCCAACACCTCGAGGGGCTGTGGGAGGTGAGCTGCAGCTTTGTGCTCCTTTGACCCCCAGAATGGGATTTTTCTGTCTGTGCCTTCACGTAGAGGGCACAGAAAGCAGCAGTAGGAAGAGAAGCAGACTGGTCCCAGTGCTGAGCAAATGTTTCAGTCCAACGGTTCCCAGCTGGAATCCGTTCCCTCCCCTCTGCCCTTTCTGCCGTGGTGTCCTGGAGCAGCTGACTCCTGGAAGGGGCTGCTGAAAGCCTTTTGAAAGGGCTGGTTCCTTGGGGCTCCAAAGCCTGCCTGGAGCGTGCCCAAAGCCAGCAGCACTTTCAGGTCACTGTGTCACCCTTTGCAGGCTGGGCATGTCCCACACCATGCCAGCTGAAAAACGGGGGCAGAGCAGGTCATACCCTCACAGAGCTTTCCTCATTCAGCCTCTCCCCATTCTGCCATCATCACATTCTCTGACGTGCCAAAGGCTGAAGCAGGGTTATGTCTGGACCCAATGATCGAATCAAACTATTTTTAATCAGTGTAGCTCAACCTCAGGAGGGGGMGGATGCAGTGACTCCGTGCCCCAATTGCACTGAGAGCAGGACCAGGTCACTGCCTGGGCAGACAGAGCTGTGCCCAGCCCAGGACAGAGCCCCAGCATGAACAATTACAGACAAAGCAGAGACAAATCAGAAATCACAAACASAGCTGAGAGTGGAGTCCAGCAGGAGCTGCAAGTGAGAAGGATGAAGGGCCCAAGTCGCAGCTGCTGCCTGCCTTTAGCAGCACTGAAAACTGCCGCGGGCAGAGCAGGGGCAGAAAAGCTGAGCTGGAGCTCATCAACCCAGTGCTTGTTCCTCTTCCCTYCTGTGACTCCATGGCATTATCCTGTCCCCTTTGGGAACCTTTCAAATGGAAGGTTTTGAACAASAGTGCCTTGCCCCAGCCCTGCTGCYRGGAAGGGCCACRCCAACATCTGTCATGCGCTCCCTGAGTGAAATTCAACTTTTGTTTACATGGTTTGTCCTTAAAACCAGCAGTCAGCTGCAACTCRCAGCCATAGCTGCCTTATTAAAAATGAAGCTTTTATTTTAAACACAGTACATTTTGAAACAGGAAAATCAATATAGAGTAACCCAGAGCAYAGCAGACAACAGCTGTGGGACGTAATCTGATGGCAGAAAGTTGAGAACAGGATTTTGGCAGTTTTATATTCAGTAAATCTCTCACTTTCTGTTTTTCATGGCACTGAGTTCTAAAGATCTGAGATTTCTCCCCACCTGGTAACCCAAAGCTTCACAGGATGAAGAACCCAAGAAACCACTGCTTTCAGCATTAAAGGCTATTATCTAAATAATAAATCAGTTATTATTTACATCTTGCTTTCTAGGCTACTGTAAGAGGATGACTCTTCCCAGAGTTATGATGAGTTAACAACAGCCTCAGTGACCTCAGAGCCCTGAGCAAGGACACAGGAAGACACTYCAGCATCAAGAACATTAAAGGTAAAACATTTCCTAAAGTAAATCCTTTTCTCTGCCTTCCCTTGGGTTGTGGGTCAGGGTGCTCAGCCCTGCTCAGAGCTGGCATTCATAATAAGCTCTGCTTGGAAAAGTTACACAGGTGGAAAAAAAGATGAAGCCACAGATGTGCCCCTTACAGGAATACGGAACAACATCAAGGTTGCGCACAATTGTTACAATTTTATTTTATTAACAGCATTTTTAGTAAGAAACAAACTAAATATTGAACGATAATATTGAATAATGACTAATATGAATAAACCAGGGATTTTTGGAGCCAAGCTATTTGTCCTTAGGAGATGATTGGCTCTCTACAACGATATGTGACTCACAAAATAAACTCCAATATATTTCCTTAATGGGCAAAAGCGTAACAGATCATTTTTGTCCCAAAACTGCTTTTTTCAGCATATCCCACCAAGGATATTTTTTCTCAGATAATGCAACTGTTTTTATACAGGTTGGCACAGCGAGTTCATGGGGCAAACGCTGAGTTAAGATCGCGATGTTCCCCCGGTGTCGCCTGGCCGGCATTGCCCTCTAGCGCTGCGGGGCCGCCGCACTGCTGTCCCCACTGCTGTCCCCACTGCTGTCCCTGTACTGCTGTGTCCCCACTGCTGTCCCCACTGCTGTCCCCACTGCTGTCCCCACTGCTGTCCCCCGCTGCTGTCCCCCGCTGCTGTTCCCCGCTGCTGTCCCCACTGCTGTGTCCCCATTGCTGTCCCCACTGCTGTCCCTGTACTGCTGTGTCCCCACTGCTGTGTCCCCACTGCTGTGTCCCCACTGCTGTCCCCACTGCTGTCCCCTTTGCTGTCCCCACTGCTGTCCCCACTGCTGTCCCCACTGCTGTCCCCGCACTGCTGTCCCTATTGCTGTCCCCCGCTGCCGTCCAGCACTGCTGGCCCCGCACCGCCACCGCAGAGTCACCGCACTGGCACCGACAGCCACCGCACTGTCCCCGCACAGGCAGCGCACAGCCCCTGCACAGCCACCGCACTGTCCCCGCACCGCCACTGTCCCCGTACGGCAGAGCCGCCCACAGCCCCGGCCGCGCAGGGACCCGGGGCCAGCCCTTGGTCCCTCTGTCTCTCTGTCCCTCCGTAGCCGTGTCCCTCCGTCCCTCCGTCCCTCCGTCCCCGTGTCCCTCTGTCCCTCTGTCCCTCATTCCCTCTGTCTCTCTGTCCCTCTGTCCCTCCGTCCCTCCGTCCCCGTGTCCCTCAGTCCCTCAATCCCTCTGTCCCTCAGTCCCTCATTCCCTCTGTCCCTCCGTCCCTGTCTCCTGTCCCTCTGTCTCTCTGTCCCTCTGTCCCTCCGTTCCTCTCTCCTGTCCCTCAGTCCCTCTGTCCCTCGGTCCCTCTCTCCTGTCCCTCTGTCCGCCGTTCCTCTCTCCTGTCCCTCTGTCCCCCGTTCCTCTCTCCTGTCCCCCTGTCCCCCGCCCCCGGCGCGGTCGCTCGGAGCAGCGCTGAGCCCGCCCCGCGTGTCACGCACGGCAGCAGCGGAGCTCGGCCGGCTCCGGGCACGATTGCTGCTGCTGCTGCTCGCAGCGGCTCCGCATGGGGAATGAAGGAACCCGGAGCAGCCCCGCGTTTGTGACTCCGGCTGCCCTGGGCTGCCCAAAAGCCGGGCAGGTTGGCCGTGCCGGGGCTGGGGCTCTCCGGGGACATGAATTCTCCTGCTCGCAGCGCCCGGGGCTTTGCAGCCACTTCGCGGGTCCACAGATGACTTTGAGCTGACTCGCCGAGGGACACAACCCCAGCTTGCTATGGAGGATGATTTTAAAGATGAATTCCTACCTTGGTGATGAATCCAATACATCGATACCGGGATATTTCAAAAGCTCTACACTAAATAATGCCAATTTTTCTGCAAACAACTCCAACGAGACAGGAAGCAACCTGGATTCACCTGCCTTGGCGACCAGCAGGGCAATCATTGTGGGGCTGATCCTCGGTGCCTTTATTCTCTTCGCTATCATAGGTAATATCCTGGTAATTCTCTCGGTCGCTTGCAACAGACATTTAAGAATCCCCACGAACTATTTCATCGTTAACCTGGCCATAGCAGACCTGCTGCTGAGTTTCACTGTCCTGCCCTTCTCTGCCACCCTGGAAGTGCTCGGCTACTGGGTTTTGGGGAGGATTTTCTGTGACATCTGGGCAGCGGTGGATGTGCTGTGCTGCACAGCCTCCATCCTGAGCCTGTGTGCCATCTCCATCGACAGGTACATCGGGGTGCGCTACTCGCTGCAGTATCCCACGCTGGTCACCAGAAAAAGGGCCATTCTGGCYCTGCTGGGGGTCTGGGTCCTGTCCATGGTGATTTCCATTGGGCCACTGCTGGGCTGGAAGGAGCCGGCCCCGCAGGACGACAGGGAGTGCCGGATCACCGAGGAGCCCTTCTATGCTCTYTTCTCCTCCCTGGGCTCATTTTACATCCCCTTAATCGTCATCCTCGTCATGTACTGCCGGGTCTACATYGTGGCCAAAAGGACTACCAAGAACCTGGAAGCTGGGGTGATGAAGGAAATGTCCAACTCCAAGGAGCTGACCTTACGGATTCACTACAAGCACGTTCACGAGGACACGTTAAACAACACCAAATCCAAGGGGCACAATCCCAGGAACTCCTTAGCCTTCAAACTTTTAAAATTCTCCCGAGAAAAGAAGGCGGCCAAGACGTTGGGAATTGTGGTCGGCATGTTCATCCTGTGCTGGCTCCCCTTCTTCATTGTCCTGCCACTGGGTGAGCTGGGAACCAGGGGATTGCGAGGGCAGGGTGGGAGTGGGTTTGCTGGATCCTACAGAATTATCATGGGAAGCAATCAGATGGGTGAGAAGGAGATACTGTTGGGAGAGTTGAGTGAGCAGGTGAAAGGAAAGCAATGGGAGAAAGGGAGCTCCTGATGTTGGCTTTTGCAAAGTGTCACACTGGAATTTTGCTGCACAAAGCTGCTCACCTGGAGTCCTCAGGGCAGGTGTCACATCAGGGCACAACATCTCCAGGGTTTATATCTTAAATCCCTCTTTATGTCTTTCCTTAGAGTTGAATTAGGTAAATTTTAATCAGAAACATTGCCACAGATGCTTTACCCAAACCCTTGGTAAGAACAGAGCTGCAGCACTGCAGTGCTGGGGTTCAGGCCACTGCCCCAGCTTTGGGATACAGCACAGTAGGATTCTGGCATTATGTGGTGCCTTAACTGGAAATGAGCTTAGTTAATTGTGAGGGGTAAAACTCCCCTGAGCTTTGGAAAGCTGAAAAATTCTAGTTGTCAATTGAAATGTTACTGATGAAATCCCAACAGCAAAGGCACAGAGATCCCACAGATCCCCACAGGAAGATGCTCACTGATGTCTGCAGGTCTCAGTTCAGGCATTTTGGGACATGGCCATGGGAGCTTTTGGCAGCCACTTCGTTCACTTTCAACTTTAAAATATTGTTAAAGCACTGATGGAGCCTTAACACATTGCTGAGTGTCCCCAGAGCCTTGGGAAACGTGCTTGTATTGGGTTTAATATTAGCACTGCCTTYGAAGGGGAGTATCTCAAGATATTCAATTACGAGCTCTCACAAATATCTGTCCAAAATTCATTTCTCTGAGACAGAGACAATCTAGCAGCCTAATTATGGAAAGAGGTGGATAAAGAAAAGGGAGGAAAAACCTTTATTAATGTTCTGTATTTGTGTTTACTTAGTTACCCGACCAAAACATTTCTGATTGAGTGGTAAGTGARTATTTTTAGAGACTGCTGTGGAGAACTAAACTGAGTTTGGCAGCCCGGTCCCAGGAAAGTGTTATAAAACCACAATTTCTGTAGATGTGTAACATCATTCAGAGTATAATCTTTACTGCTTCAGCTACTGCAGGGCAAGTCTGTCATCTCTAGCTTATTGTACTGAATTTTAAAATYTTTATGACTCAGGACCTGCATAAAAGGTCATGTTAAGATGTGAAAAAGTCTGAACAGAAGGAAAATTGTGAGTAAAGTTCTCCTTGGCTACTGAAGTTTAAGTCCTTGTGCTGGTTCTTAAAGGAAGTTTATAACATAAAACAGACACAAATGCTCAGCTGTGGRTAGAAATAGATCCCCACCACACAGTATCAGCAGTAGTAATGGATTTGTAGCTGATAACGTAGATTCCCTCCTTAGTTTTGAATTATTGAATGGCAAAAAGCCACAAGAACACAGCAGCTCATGTGTGTAGGTGGCAGGAGCCAGGGACTCCTGACCCAGCACAGATGTGGAGCAGCCCAGCAAAAACACAGACAGGGCAGGAGACAAGGGACACACGAACCTGTCCTGGAAAAATGTCAGTTTTCTCTTTGACAAGTGATTTCACAGCTCCTGGGCTCTCTGGGAGGTTTCATGAGGGGCGGTTTAATCACCTGAGGGGAATTCACTGCTTGCCAGGATTTGATTTTATCTCCAGTATAAATTGTGCCAAGGCAGCAGGAGGTGACAGGCTGGAGCCTCCAGCACTGCACAGGGGCTGCAGAGGGGCTGGGGCCAAACCCAAAGCWGGRGACCCCAGCCCAGCCCASCCCAGTGCTGTGATCCCAAAACCCCCAGTGTGGGACACTCGGCACCCCCAGAGCCGGGGGGCAGGAGGAGCTGCAGGGAAAAGCCCCTGGCAGTGCCCTAAGACTGCTGGAATCCTGTTTCTGTCAGAAATCCCTCTGGTTAAAAAAGGGGGAAAGAGCATGTCCACAGCATCATCCAGATCCAAATGCATTCCCACAGTAGGTATTCTCCCTTTCTTTTGCTGACTAGGAATAGGCTGGGTTTTAGTCCTTGTCCCTGGTCTCTTTACATTTTTTTATTTGATTTATGATCCAGTGCACTCCAACCCTCTGTATTTTTATCTCCGTGTATCAGTGCAGAGTCAATTAAGGATGTCAGGCATGACTCAAGCATTGCTCACCAGGACAGGTGGGAAAAGTCCTTTTCCTGACGTGCATAATGCAGCTGTTCTCAACTGCAGCAGAGGGGAAAGAATTCCTAAGGAGCTGTGAGCTGCACCCTGCATACAAGARATCCTTTGCTCTGTGTCTTGAAGACACAAAATTCAATGAAATGCTATTTAAACCCCTYTCAAAAGGCAGCCAGGGTATGAAATCAATTCCTGGGCAGGCAAATTGTAGAATTCAAAARGTGCTGATGTTTTCCCAGCTCTCCATGGGTGTCCTGGGCTGTCCAGCTGAGACACCTCCACCTCCTGCAAGGTCARGCTTCTTGCTCAGCCTCTCTTTCCCAAATCTTCTCTTTGCCCCAGTAACCCAGATCACATCCTCACATCTGCCTCGTTGCTGGTTTTATTTCTATTTTTCTGCTCCTTGTTTCCCTCAGCAATTCCATGACTCTGCAGAAGAKTGTTGGCAGAGCAGCTCTGGATTTCTGTGGATCCAACCACAAAACATTTGCCAAGCTGGTAAATGTTATTTCTGYAGCATCCCAGGCCCAGATCTGAACAAACCTACTTTGATGTAGCAGAGTTTCCTTGGTATTCTCAGCAATTCCRTGAGTTTCCCAGACAAAATTATTCTTCTTCCAGTCTGGCATTTCAATTTATTCCACAGCTYCCCATTTGATATTCCAGCCACAGTTATTCCATCAGGTGGCAGCTATGCCCTGGGAGCAGCTGTGGTGCTGAAAGCAGGCAGATTGCTCGGGAAAATGAAAAGAAATTATATCAACGCTTCTACAGCGTTTTTCAAGCAAAAATCAAAAAGTTTTGCAAGGAAAGCTCTGAATCCAATGCAGATTGGAATTCCAGCCCTGACACCACAGGCACTGAGCARAATTAAATTCTCAGCACCAAGAATTAGCCCCAGTCAGCTCTGGAGCACTGAACTGTGCTGTCTTCAGCACCTGGGGATGCAGAACTGAGATTGAGGAGAATCGTGTCAGGAATGTGGGGTCATTCCTGTACTGGAGATTCTTTCCAGACAGCAATGGAGCTGCAGGACATCCTGGCTGCACACATTTATAAAAGCTCCCTGGCTGTGCAAACAGCCATCCTGCCACTCAAAATTATTTGTGGTTCAACATAAAAAATAAACTAAAGACATTGTGTCTTTGAGACAACTTCTCAGGCCATCAATTCAGTGACTCAGCTTTGAGGAGTAAATATCTTGGGTTTTTWAAAATAAATGTTTCTTTTCATCCCTTTCATACAGATTCTTCCTTAGGAAGYAGGACTACATTAAATATTCATTGCTGATAAATGATAAGTAAAGGAGATTATTTTTCTTTAAAGGCCAGAGCCCTGCAGAATTGAGGTTACACTCATTAAAACTCYCTCCTTTAAACAGTGGAGTGCCCAATTTTATGACAATCCCTTCATTTAAACAATGAGTGAAAAATGAAGGGTCGTATAAAGAAAGGTTTTGTGTCACTCCTGTAAACTGGGATATCAGAGCAGGATTTCCAGCCTTCCCCAGACTCCCAAAGGGAAAACTCAGCATTTCCAGTACTTCAACCAGGGCACTTCCCCAGCCTGCTGCACCATTCCAGAGGAGATCAGAGCAATATTCACTGCCCAGCTCAGAGCCTAAATCCCCCTGCTTCCACAAATCCTGGGGTCCAGCCACTGAAGAAAAACAAAACTCTTGGAATTTAACTGATCCCAAGAGCACCAGGATGAAAATACACCCAGTGGGACTATCATGGTGTATTAAGCTTTTGAAACCTCTCTATAAAATAATAAAAAATAACATAAAACATTCTACACACTGCAGGTCAGCCAACACAAAATTATTCTTAAATAAAATGTTATTTAAGTGCAGAATGTAGATTTATGGTACATCAGGCCAGTCTCTGAGAATACCAGATTCAGCCCCTAAAGTCTGGTGCTGTCAGTGCTGCTGAGCTCTGCTTGCTGCAGGGCTTTAGGCCTGGCTTATCTTTACCCCATTTGCCTCCTCTTCCCTTCTCTGGCCAGCCCAGCTCTCTCGAATCTCCAAGATTGATGACCTCGAGTTAATAATTATAAAAGAATTCAGACAAATTAATGAGGGATGTGGCAATCTGGCAGGTCAAGCCTTGTGCAAAGTTCAGTTGACAGGAGACAGCAGGAACTGGGCAATTAAACATCCTGAGGGCATTCACTGACCAGCACAGAGCATTTTGGCACTTGGGGAGCMCCAGATTATTTGGGGATGATTCATTCTCCCACTGGAATATTTTCCAGAAGCCCTGGTTGGAGCCTTTGCTTTGCAGAGGGTATCAATTACCAGTCACTCACTGACTTCTGCGGTTTAGAACAAAATGATTTGTTATCAAAGTAGGGAAAACTGCACAAGTTCCAGGGTAATTCCTCTGYAAGCTTTGGATTTGTTTATCAGAGGAACAGAGGAAAATCCCCACAGTGGACAGTGTTACAGAACCCAATWCACAAAGCMATAGAGAAAAAAATACAAAGAAATYAACTGGTGCTGACTCTTGRGCCTCAGGGATGGCAGCAGCTCCTGTGTGTGGTGGCCAGAGAGATCCAAGGGAAAAATCCGTTCAGGACTGAGCCACTGGGCAGGGAGAGGAAATCTGCTATCCTTTGAAATCAGAGGAAACCTTGCTTTTACAGGGCAGCTGGGCAGGAGCTCCGTGTGCCAGAGGGGTTGGCAACCACTTGTGCCCTACTGGGGTTGGTGGCCGTGGGGACAGAACTGAGTGAAGTCACCAAGGTGTCCCAAAGCACCAGGGCCAGAGCTCAGGGTCTCAGTGCTTTGGGTGAAATACTGCCAGGACCAAACAGCCAGGAGGCTTTTCGTGTCTTTAAAACACTCCTCCATGGCCCACTGAAGATTTGGAGCTGTTTTGATGGGCTTCCAGGCGAGCCCRAGGAACTGGAAAGCAATAACCATCCATCTCTGAGGGACAAGAGAGAAAATGTACACTGGAAATTCACCCAGTGCCTCTGGAGCTGTGCTCAATGCCATGCTGCAGCTATTTCCTACCAGCCATGGCCAAGACAGATTGGCTCAGCTGTCAGGCAGCAGTGAGGAGGAGAGAAAACACCACAGCATGTGCAGTAATTTCAGATATTTAAATACAATAAATGAAATGTCAGCAGACCCAGATTAGCTTTTCTAGACTCCCTTAATCAGCTAATCCTTTGCATAACAAGGGTAATCTTGGCTCGTGTGCTGTCTAGGCAGGAGCTGCTGAATTCTGTAACTCTTTTGGACTAAACAATAACAGCAACAATGCCGTGTTCCTGTCCCTGTCCGCTGTCAGCTTTAGAGAATGAACAAGATTCTGACCAAAATTCAGCTTGATTTTATTCCATTTATGTGAGGGCAGCACAATTTAAACACAGGTGAGTTCTGTCAGTGGTGTAAACACAAAGCTGTTCTGGACTGAGAGGTGGTGCCCAGGGCAGTAATTCTGTCATTAAATACRAGGCACTGTCCCTCCAGAAATCAAATGTAGCTGCTGTGCCTTGTAACTGCTTGTAATGCAAAGAGGTGTAGCACCTCTAGGGTTTAGAAAAAGATCTGGTCCCTATCTCTACTCCTTTAAGTCCTGGTTTTATTTTGGCTATTCCAGATAAGTTGCTATTTTTGGAGCCTTTCAAAAGCTCTCAAATTTGAGTCATTTTGAATGACGTTCGTGCTGTTCTCATACCAGGGATTTGTTCATCTGAAATATGAGGCATCTGCTGTAGGTTGTCAGTCCTARGACACAAATTCCTCTCAACCAGGACCCTTTGGAGCTCTGAGCAGCCTGGGATAGGGGAAGGTGTCCCTGCCAATGGCAGGGGGTGGAACTGGGGAGCTTTAAGGTCCCTTTAAACCAAACCATTCCATGATTCCATGATGTTCATAATGTACCCATCAYTACCCTGGAGACTGCTGGACTTCCAACCCCATCAGATTTGTGTGCTACCATTGTTACCTAGCATTTATCCAGTTTTCCTTTCGTTTTCCTTACTGAATTCTATTCCATTTATTTTGGATGCTTTCCCTGTTCCTCAAGATGGTTTTTCACTGTTTTCCAGCTGCTTTCTGWGTTATCCTAACYCCYTTCTCCAGCAGCCCTGCAGTGCCTYCCAGCTAGACCAACCCTCAGTTTTATGACCATCCTCTCTACTTCTCTACTGTTTGTAAACTGTGGGGAGGTTTTTCTTATATTAAACAAGTCCAGGGGWATGTAAACAAACACTGGATGCTGGAAAGGAAGAAATCAGGAGCTTTAAAAATCCAATTAGCTCTGCAACCTTGGCACGCTGGCTTGGCTGAGCCCGTGGTGAGAAGGGCCGCAAAAAGCTTAAACAGAAGGCAACCACATCCTTTCAGCACATCCTAAACTCACAACAACTCTGCTCAGGGGCAGYTGATTGCTCCTGCAGGGAGGATTTTGCTGGCTGTGCACACAGTGGCTGCAGCTCAGCCGTCAGCAGCTTCCAGGAGTTGTGGCTCCTGCAGGAATCGCAGCAGGAAYAGGGAGGATCCCAGCCTGGAAAGTCTCGTGCGGGTCACAGCACAAATCTGATCAATCACTTTGCCCATCACAAAGCAGATTCCTTACACACCAATGCTCATTTCTGCACAAGATGTCTCCTGGGGGACAGATGGAGATGGGGGTTGATGTTGGTGAAGYTTCCTGTTTTCCCTGTCTCAGAATCAGCTGTTACCATTTGGTGTTTTGCAATGCTTTTCCCCATCAGAGCAATTTTTAAAASCTTGGCATTTTCTTTTGTGGGGCATGTTGAGAATCTCAGATTTAACTCCAATCAGAATGGCTTCAATCTGCACCAAAATGGAATCTCTGAAAGAAGTTTGGACCTTGGGTTGCTGTCCGAGGGTACCTTCACCCGAATCTAAACTTCCAGTCTAAACTACCAATTCTCTGTTTGTGTTACATGGTGTGCAAACAAGAAGGTTTTGAAACACTTCATTTTCAACCTGTTATCAGTAGAGAGAAAGAGTTTTACATTTTGTGACTCTTTAATCTCCAGTGACAAAGCTGTGCAGTGGATCTCCAGTTTCCCATCTGGRATATCCAGTGGCACACAGCAAAGCTCTCACCTGACTCTGTTCTACCATTGTATTTCAATAAATCCAGATGTTGCATTTGTTCCAGGAAACTGGAAAACAACTCAACACATCCCCCAGGTGTGTTTTCATCTATGCAAAACTGGATTGAGAAGATTCTGAAATTCAATTCCTTTGCAAGGCACAGAAATGAGCCTCAAATTCATCCATAGACTTGTTCTCCTCAAATCCAGGCAATTSACAGTACTCCTACCCAAATATTGTCTAATCTAAGTACCCAATACTTGATTCTGAGCAGGACTGATCATTCTGTGAGTAATTCATTAYACTTAATTGGATCAAACCCACAGTGCATTAAAAATGAATGTTTAATAAAAACTTCATCAGTGAAGAGTTTTCCTTAATTAAGAGGACAATGATTAAGCCACTCCAGGAGATTTTCCTGCTGCCCACCCTGATATTTTAAGGATTCTTCCCAGGTCCTCATAAGGGACTGAAGCCCTTTTGAGCCTTTACAAAGGGACTGAAGCCCTTTTGAGCCTTTACAAAGGATTTCAAGGACTTCCCTGATCAGTGGACTCTGAATTTTAACATCTCAGTGATGCTCTGCCCCCAAATTCTGCAGAACATGTGAGAAGAATTAATATGGCGTTCAGGAGACTCAGTTTTAGGTGCTGCATTGATCTGGTTTATGCTGGATTTTTTTCAGATGCATTTCTTGGTCTCTCTGATGTTTGACATTTGTGCTCTGTAATTCCTGCAGCATCCATCAGRACAGAGGCAGGAGCTGCAGAGCTGCACACAAAAGGCTCTGGTCAAACCCTGCAGATCACTGGCCATGGGTTCACCTCACAGGAGTCCTGTAAAAGCCCCTCAAGTGCAGGAGTTGKGAGGAAATACCTTTAAACTCTCCTTTTAACCCTGAGTTCTTCAGCTCCAGGGTAGAGCCAGAGCAGGCTGGCACCATTCCCAAAYCCTGCCAGGATCAAATSYGGGCTCTGGAGCCACAGGAGCCTCRGTGYAGRGAGCAGMAGCCCAGCACTGGCCCCACACACGCTGTGCTGGCTGTGCTGCCTGTGCTGGCACCCCGGAGCTGTTGCCCAGGAGCAGAGGAAGTGCTTTTGCATAGTTTTGAGGCCCCAGGCACGACCTCTGCTTCGCTGTGAGATGGGAACGGTGCCCAGAACCACATCCCGCCCCTCCACGGCATCCTGACAGCCACCACTGACTCAGCTGCTTCCACAGCCCAGCAGATCTGAAAGCACTCCAGAGGAAAAGGTTCTTCCCCCAGCACCTTCCATTCGAAAAACTCTGCAAAGCTAATCCAGTTCTTGATAGAGGAATTGTCCCCTGAATTCCTGCTCCTTGGTCACTTGAGCCAGACACAGAGGTGTGTGTCCAGCTGAGAACTGATCCAGCTCAATGCCTGTTTTCCATAAAATTCTCATACATTCTTTTCTCCAGCCTCATTTGCTAAATTTAGCTGATCAATTACCACAAAAAGCACAGGAAGTGGATTCCCCAGTGTGAGCTTTTCATTTGGGCAGCCTCGTCAGGGAAATCGTTTGGTTGTGAAAGGGAAGTATWCACAAAATAACTTCTTATTTTGGGTTACATCATTTTTATGAATGCCTGAGGTATGGGAAGTGCCACAATTAACTTCAAGTTTCAGGAGGTTTGTACTCTCACAATAATCTGGATAAATGGGGGGTGTTCAGGAGCTGCCAAAGGATATATTAGAAGTTATAAGGTATGACTAGAAATGCTCTTTTTTGAGGGGCCTGGGAACACTTTCCTTCAAAAATGGCTTTTGACAGCTCTCTGAAGAAGGCACAGCTTTATTCCTCGTGTGCCTCATGCAACAGCTTGGACAAGGGAGGTTTGTCTGTCCTGGGATCAGGAGATGTTCCTGGAGCAAGTGTGGGCCTATAAACACAGGGACTGCTTCTTGGTTTTTAATCCTACATTAATAATGTGCTCCTTTAGCTTTCAGATGGGAAGCATTTCCTTATTGGTTTTTAAAATAAWATTTTAGTACCAAAAGACCAACATTGAAAGCAACATACATGAAAGAGCTTTAAAGCACAGACTCTAACAGTGATCTGAGGAACATATTCCCCTCCTAAAGGCACACAAACCYTTTATCTCAGATATTGTCTCTGTTYGTTTTCTCTGGACAGGATCCCTGTTTTCGGCTCTGAAGCCCCCTGAAACGATCTTCAAGGTGATTTTTTGGCTCGGCTACTTCAACAGCTGCTTGAATCCCATCATCTACCCCTGCTCCAGCAAAGAGTTCAAGAGGGCTTTTATCCAGATCCTGAGATGCCAGTGCCACCGGCGCAAGCAGCTGGGCTGGTGGCCCTACAGCTACAGAAACTGGAACCGCTGCTCCTTCGAGCAYGCCAGGAAAGATTCCCTGGAAGACAGCGGCAGCTTCCTGAGCGGCAGCCAGAGGACTTTATCCTCAGCATCCCCCAGCCCCGGCTACGTGAGCAGGATCAGCCACCCGCAGCTGGAGCTGTGCACGCTGCACGAGTGCAGGAACTGCAGCTCSCTGCTGAGCCCGGCCCGCGGGACCGGCGGGCAGCAGGACCAGTGCCAGTTCTTCACCTTCCAGCTCCTGCCCGAGCACAACGGGCACGGCCCTGCCGCTGGCCAGGGCTCGGGGAGTGAGCCCGCAGGGACACCCTGAGAGAGAGCACTGCCTGGGGACAAACTCCCGGYGGGAATGAAGCATTCCAACTGCTCTGCTCCCCTTGGACACTGCCCAGCCTCACCGYGCAATGGACTGCGCAGAATTCCTCGGGATAGCTCGGGAAGGGGGCAGGGAGGAAMGGGCAGGGTTTGTCACAGCAGTGGYCAAGAGCTGGGACTGACCATATTCCCAATTGATTTCCAGAGAAACTACTGAAGCATGAGCAGAGTGCAGGGAGGGTGCTGGATGCACCCAGGGAAGGGCACCTGGGATTCCTCAGCTGTCCTGGGAGA